AGGAAGGAGGGGGAGAGAGATGAATCATCACCTATGATGAAGTTTTCTGAGAACTGGTGTCATTTGTTTCCAATCCTGTATTTGAGATCCCTTTCCTGATTTGTTCCTAATTCTTTTCTGAATGCATGCCCTCCTCCAATAGCAGGCAATCAAATCTAATAAAAATGACAGTATTGGAGGATTTTTTCCAGTCAGGCTCCTGGCTAACGTCCAGCTCTTAGCTGGATTTAGCCAAAGCCTGGCTGTAAACAAGCACAGAGAATGGAAACTGTCCAGAGTCCTGCAGGAGACCATGGCAATTTAAACCTAGGTTAGGGTAGATGTTTTGTGTGATTTTCGCATAATCCTGCATGAGTACCTCCTCCTATTTTCTGAGAATGGAATGTGTCCCTGTCTCTGAAGCCACAGCTTCAAAATCAGTATCTGTGATGTCTGGCACAGTCATGGATCCTGCATTTTATTCAAAAAATAGTTTTAACTCAATACTTGGCAAAACCTGGATTTGTATTACCAAATTTGTCCTTAGCGGATACAGTACATATGTACATATCTGAGAGAATGTTAATTTAGCAATCTGAGATTCTGTAAATTTCAATTGTCAGCTTCTGCAAATAAGTAAACCTGTGAAATCTGAAATGATATCAAAAAACATTAAAAGCAAGCTGCACTTGGCAGCACATTTCGTAGTTAGCCATCAGAAGGCAAGGATAGAGGATTTCATAATGATTATCTGTATGTAGGCACAATCAGGTGGATAAAATTTCTCTGATACTTACATGTGGATGTTATCCTCTTTTGTTTAATGTATTATGTGTTTAGGAACAATCACATTATTTCCTGTCATTCACCTTCACTTTATCTGCTTCTACTGCAGCACACGTTTATTTGGGAGGGAGAAATAAATCAGCAGCTCTGAAGGAGATCTCCAAGCCTTTCTCAGAATTTGCATTTGTTTATGCGATTAATAGCAGTCTCCGTATTGGTTCACATTCAAGCACATTATGAATACACAACGTCCCTCAGAAAGAGATAAGGGGAGTGCAAGTGGTCAGGCTTGTAGGTTACTATCCTACAGGCTCTGGCTATATTCCAAAATTAAAAAATCAAACTTCATAATAAAAACCCACTGTCTGGTACATAGAAACATTTGCTTCCAAAGCTGCTTGAAATTTGTACAGCAACTATTCACAATTACACAGGGCAGTGTAGTGCTTACTAGAGGCAAAAATCTAGGGTGTATTTACTTCATCACCTCTTCCCACATCAGCTTCCCTGCATCCTTCACACAAACAGCAAGTAGGGAGACATAGGTGAATCAGCAGTTCTGAGGGAGATCTGTAAGAACGGTCGTCATCTTTTTACATCCTCAGCTTTCAAATAGCTATCCTTACTTGTTGCTAATGCATCTGTAAATGCATGCCATCTTCAAATAGGAGGCAATCACATCATATATATGTGTCAGTTCTTTAGGAATTTTTCCGGACAGGCTCCTGGCTGAAATGCAGTTCTTAGCTGGTTTTAGGCCAAGCTTGGCTGTAAACAACCCCAGAGAAGGGAAACTGCCCAGAGACCTGAAAGTGACAGTGGCAGTTACAAAAAACTTGGAAAGGATAGGTGATTGGTGTGATTTTCCATAATACTGCAAAGATTAACTGCTCCTGTTTATGGAAATGAAAATTCCAACAGTCTCTGAAGTCACAGTTTCTGCCCTAGTATCTGCAGTTTCTGTCTATATCATGGATACTACAGTATGTTCTAAGGGATTTAGTTTTAATTCAATTCTTAGAGAAACCCGGTTATTATTCCTCATACATGATGTTAGACAAGACAGCAGGAATGGTTATGTTTGGGAGAAATTTTACTCTACATCTGTGTCACTGTAAAATTCAAGTATCAGATTCTCCTAATAATTGCATGTGTGTAAACTGCCCTGATGTTCAAAACCATTACAAGCCAGCTACAATTGGCAGAACGAAATCATTAACAGCCATCAGAAGGCAGAGACTGTAAATTTCATTTAGAGAGCCTAGATATAGTTACAAGCAGTTAGATGTATGCTTAACCATACTAAACTAAGTATGTTTTTATCTTCTGTATATTTCATATTAGTCCTGCATTAAGTATATTATTTCCTGTCATCGATTTTATGCATTGTTGTTTCTGCTGCAGCATAGTTTTAGTTGTAAGGGAGAAGTGAATCAGCAGCTCTGAAGGATATTTCCAAGCATTCCTCAGGATTTGCTTTCATTGGTGGTATTGAGATCACTTTCCCTTTTGGTTCAGATTTTCCACATATCTTAAATGCACAAGAGAGAAAGGAGTGCTAATAAGTAGTCAGAATTGCATGTTATTTCTAGGCATTCTCTGGCTATATTCTGAAAATCAATTGTTTCAGAACAGAATGAAGATTCTCTGTGTATTTTCACAGAAACTCAACTAACTATGCCTGATATATGCAGGAGATAGATGGCCTAGGAATTATGAAATCTGTAGATTGTTTTATTCATTGAAGTACAGCTTCGATTGACCTCATACTGTCACCTCCGCAGCAAGACGATTCCTGAATATTGAATTAGGGTTTTATTACTTTATAATCATAATAGTTGAAATAAATGTTTGTGGCACTTGAAGTTCTGCAGTTCTTGCATTAAAATACTTCTCTGTAGGATAAGGTATTTTGACCCTGCATTCTGGGGCAGTCTACTGGTACACTAGGGGAGGGAATGCAAATGGGGGAGAAAGAGATTTGAGAGACAAGGACAAGACAGGATTCTGATTATATTTCATTTATTAACTTTATTAACAGTCATAAGTAGTGCAGGTGGTTGAGTCTTGGAAGGAGGAGAAGTTATATATGGCAGGATCTGTTGCAAGGACACCAGTCTGCAGCTGGGAGAGTCTGGAGCACAGTCTTTGGAAATGTTCTCTACAGGTTATATCTACATAGATATATGCAAAGTTAAATAAGCGTTACTCTCTAAGAATACAGTAGGAATTTTAGGGTGGCTACTATTATGGTATCCTTAATTTGTACCCTCCATAATATCTAAAATGGACTAGGGGAATTGATTTGTTTTCTCTGCACTAGGATATCCATTGTGTGGATGGTCATTGTAGTTTTATTCATTTATTTATTGAGTGACTGACATTACAAGTAGCAATATCTGTAAAAGTGAATGTGAAGGATGTAGACAGACCTGAAAAGTTTTCATGAACAATGATTGTGTTGCAATTAACTAAATACAGGAAGAATCATCTAGGAAGGAAGGCTATGCTCAAGTCTCCCATAGACTCTGTCAGTCTCAATGTTCTGAGACAGGCAGTGCATAGGCCTTTTCAGGATTCCTGTAGTACATGTCTGCAAAACCTTGGTGTAATTCCATGAAATCCATAGAGTTTACCAAAGAAAAATATTTGTACTGGAATTGTCAATACATGGGATATGGTCCTCAAGATCCTGCAGAGCTGGAATAAACAAAGCTGATTTTTGAGACCTCAGGACTGTGGGATTGAAAGGAAATTGATTAGCATAGCAAATATTAGGTGATTCAAACTTCACATTTGAAATACAAAATATCTCCTCATCCCATTAATCTACTACATCACTCAAACACTGCAACCAATTTAAAACATATATTAATAGTTGCTTTTCTATAATTGTGAATTTAAAACTGTGTGTATCATTTGGCCTATATCCTCATTTGTATATATGGCATATAAGGTAAAATATTAACATTTTTCTATTACAGGTACTTTACACAACACCGTGATTAAGTTGAGTATATTGAAGTGAATTACATAAATAGAAGGGGAATCATCTCAAAGTTGGGAATGAAAATCAGTGAACAATACAGTCGGTGGATTAAAAGCAACCATGTTAAAGTCATGGTACATTAATCTAATATCATCTGAAAGGAGGAATCAGTTATCACATAAGACTTTTTATTTGTGATTTCCTAACATGTACTGAAGAATATGTGATGAAATATATTTGACATAGCCATTTTCAGTGTTACAAGACAGTGACCAGTGCAGTTTACACTAATGACTATTCTCCATCAGAAACTTTTAACATATTTTCAACATTATGATACATATTCAGAATGATCAGTGCTTACTTGTAGCTGGCCAATTTCCTTCTTAATTAAGGAAATCACAATATGAAAAACTGAAATTTGTGTCAGCTCCTGGTTAATAATTTTTCACTTTGTGTGTCAGGTCTGTTAGAATTATCCCATTTCTTGCTTATCCATGCCTAAATATTTACCAAAATCATGGTTACATTAGGCTATTATGAATCCTTTTTACTTTATAATAGTCAAATAATTAAAATTAGATGTGCTAAGAGGTAGATTGAACAAGTCAGGGCAACTCAAGGGTGTGTCCAGGAAATAGATGGATTTGAACAAGAAACAATGTGTGCATATAGGAAGTTTCCAGAATTGAAATACATATATTTTTTCATCACTTTATTAACAATGAATGATGGGTGTTGATACAAATCACTTCCTTCTTAGTGAAAGGTTAGTAGTAAGTAGTCATTAACATATTTGATATATAATAACTCCCTGGACATAAACCTCATTGTTTCATGCAATGACATTAGAAGTCATGATGTACATGTGTTACTAATTTCCCAGTATTTTCTATAGTGAATGTTATTATTCAGTTTAAATTATGTTTTTGAGAAACCTGAAGCATGAATTTGTCAAAATTTGCTGCTGTTATTGTCTTAGTCTCCTAGTTAAGTATTCAGAATATAAGTTTTCAGTAACCTTTACAACACTTTTATGAAATTTACCTCATTAACTCAATCAAGAGTGGCAAGAATGTGTTGGAAGTGATGACAAAATCATTCTTTATTAACTAAGGAAATATATTTACCATGTATATATGTTGTTATATCAAATCTAGTTTCCTTGTTCTTTGAATCATTGTTTATTAACTGAATGTTCCAGTTCACACCCTTATGTACACAGCTGCCTTTTCTGATAGTTTGCTTATTATTTTAACACCCACCCCCCACACACACACACAAACACACACACACTTTGACATCCAGGCACATACTTCTTATTAGTGTGAACTTGACAATACCCAACCTATTTGTTTTTGAGAATGCATGCTTTCAAAATTGATCACTATTTATGAACATTTCTTAGATTACTTTCAGATTTTTGTACAACAAGAAAAAATGTATAAGGCACAATACATTAAGGTGTATAAGTTAATAAGATCATATATTTTTCTGTCAAATGGGCAAGGAGGCACAGAAATTCATTAGTTTAAACATTCTTTTCAGAATATTGATCATTACATGACTACATGAATTTTATACAATAGGACTATATAACTTACAGACAAAAACTCCATTATGAACTTTAATTTCTGACCTTCATTTTGTTTATGTATATACTTCTGTAGCTGTATCTAATACAAAATTTTAGATTCTAAAAATAAGGAAGACAGACGAAACATAATAATTTGATTGCAAAAAGAATATATTTTTTCAGACACAGGCATATTATGTAGAAAATCTTTCCAATAGTTTTCATTTTTTTCTGAAAAACACCAAGTGGGATCATGATGCAGAAATCCTGAGTAGGAGTTACATATGACTATTAGAAAGTGGATTCTGCGGTCAACATTTTATAAAAAACACATTGCTGATCATGTGAACTTGAGTAAAGGGACGTTCAACCAACCTAGTATAAAAACAAAGAAACTCAGTTATTGTTGCACAAACAGCAATGTGAATGCAGAGTTTCTGTTCAGACAATCTCAAATATTCTTGTCACAAGAAAACACAGAGATGCTTATATTTACTATGTACTGTTTGAACAAAGGCTCAGTTTTCTTACATGCTAACACTCTCTTGATTATTAACACATTTCTATTAATGCGTGCAACTCCATAAGGACTTTTCTTATAAGAGAATACCTGGGAGTCCTTTCTTCCCAGTAGTTACATAGTGTCTGTGCTGAGACTCAATGTCTGTGTTGCTCTCTCAGAATTCTGATAGTCTTAATGTGTTACATATATTTCATACCTGGCCACATACTGGATGTTCCTTGCCCAAAACAGGATAATAGAGGGAAAAATACTGATGATCTACTACCATAGGCCTCACAGATTGTCTCGGTCTCCACACTGACATCCAAATTACAGGGGTCTGGATAAGTACCACGCTAGCATCATCAGTAGTCCAAGAGGTCTCCCTTGTTCAGGTCACCTGATTCTGTGGGCTTCACAAGCATGGTTTTGACTCCCTTGCACAGCAAATATTTCCTTGTGCAAATGTGTTTCTAAGGTGCAATTCAGTGTTTAGGTGTGGGTGGATGGCTCTGCTAACACCACCCAACGGATAAAGGCACTAGGATGTCACACAAGGTAGTAATCAATCTCAATGTAGAGAAATGGTATTTAATGTAGCATCTCCAATACTGCTTAGATTGACAGTTGGTGTTATCCTTGTAGATCTCTGGAAATCTCCATAGTGACAAATCTCTCCTCTAACGTATAATGGCACCCATTATTAAGGAATGTCACTATTCTCCCCATGATTCAAACATCCTGCTCCCCGATATAAATGTATTCCTTCTGCTTCTCTGAATCTCCTTCTCTAAGATCCTTTCTCTCTCCCCCAATTCTCCCAATCTGTTTAGTATGTTTTGCCCCATTCCCAATCTCTATGGTACCTAGTACACTCACTATTACCCAGCCTCCCTGGAAGTGAGGAATGTATACGGGAAGTGCTGTGATCTATGTGTGTTTCTGCTGAATAATATTGCATTGTGAAAATCAACACAATTTCTCTACTCATTTGAGAGACATCTAGGTTGCTACCAGTTAATGGCTATTGCAAATAATGTTACAATGAACATTGTTGCACAGATTTGCATTTTGTATGAGTATGCTTCTTTTGGGGTATATGCCTAAAACTGTAATTGTTAGATCATACAGTAGACTAATTTCCATTTTCCTGAGGAGTCTTCATCTTGATTTCCAAAGTGTCTGCATATGTAGACACTCCCACCAGCAGTCGAGGAGTATCCCCCTTTCTCCACATCCTTTCCAGCATAAACTGTCATCGGTGTTTTTATTTTAGCAATTCTGACAGGAGTAAGATGCTATCCCAGAGTTGTTTTGATTTACATTTCCCTGATGTCTAAGGACGCTGAAAATTTTCTTAATTGTTTAACAGTCCTTTTAGACTCCTCTATGGAGAATACTCTATTTAATTCTGTACCCCACTTTTAATGTGAATCCTTTGGTGTTTTGGAGTCTTGCTTCTAGGTATGTTTTTGGAGATCAACCCACTGTTGAATGTGGGGTTCGTGAATATATTTCCACATTTTGTGTGCTGCAATTTTGCCTTGATGACTATGTTACTTCCCTTGTAGAAGATTCTCTGTACCAGGAGGTACCAATTATTAATTATTTTCCTGTGTTTCTGCTATTGGTGTTATGTTGAGGAAGAAGTCTCCCATACCAATTCATTTAAGTGGACTTCCTACTTTCTCTTCTAAGATGACCAGTGTGGCTGAGACTTTGGTTTAACTGAATTTTTCTTGTTCTTCATTTCTAACACTTTGTCAATTTTCTTCACGTTAACATTAGACTCTGAAAATATCAAGCTCTCATTATTGAGACAATACCCTATTTGTAACCCAATGCCCTGAGTGGGCAACAAATTATAGTAGTAGACATTTACTTGTTATCTTCTTGTTGGCATTCAGGGACTCAGAGGTATGACTTTGCTATCTTTTTTTGAATTTCATTCTGTTGTGGTGTACAGAAAATATTCCACTCTCATCCTTGACACTTGGGTAGGCTATAGGCCTTAACCTGAATGAAATGACAGATTATGGACACCACCATTGAGGGCATCACCCACCCTAGGGAAAGAATGGATAATTGGAGGGTTTATGGAAGAGCCTGGGAAGAGGGGAGGGAAAGTATAAGTGACATGGGATTGACATGTGTGGCAGCATTTATTCTAACTTAAAATGAAAAATAAATATGTATTAGTGGAGACAGTGTTGTAGTACAAAATTCGCTTGAATGTTATTAATGAGTTAGATCTATATTTTTCTTGGTTTTCTTATTTTTGTATATTTTGAAACTGTTTAGAATGAGTGTCCTTTATGCCAGACTTTGAGTTTCTGTTCCTTATAGTAAAGTTGAAACTTGAAAATATTGTAATATGGAGTTATCTGTAACTTCTGAATCTGTTTCAGCCTTTTATTATTTTTCCATGTTGATCACTGGAACTTTAGTTCATGTCATTGCTGAAGACCTCAGACATAAGCACATAAAACCTCAATGCATTTCAGGCAGGCTATATATGTGAGATAACATTATATTTCATGTACATTAAATTATATTTATAAATTGTGGCTATACAACAATATATGTTACTTATATTTGTGTTGTATACTATATACATATATATATATATACACGTTATATAATTAGAGCACTAAAACATATTAGAAATTTTGAAAAAAATCATATAGTATGTTCATCCAGATTAAATAGACCGCCCAGAGTCACTATCGTAAAAATTCTGACAATACAGATGATTGTCTATTAGAGAGCTGTACTTTTTTCTAAACCAGCTAGAAATTTGCACAGCAATTGGTCGCAATTATGTAGTGCTGTCTAGTGCTAAACAGAGGCAAAATCAATGTTGGTTTATACTTCATTCTCTCTTCTAAAACATTTCCACTGCTGCCTTCACAAAAACCACAAAGAGGGAGACATAGATGAATCAGTGGCTCCAACATAGATCTGTAAGAAATGTCCTCACTTGTTTCCATCCTTAGTTTTTAAATCTCTCTCCTGATTGGGTCCTAATGCACCTCTAAATCATGCACTCATCCAATAGGAGACAATCACTCCAAATAAAAATGACAGTACTGGAGGAATTTTTCGAGTCAGGCTTTGGTCAAAAATCCAGCTCTTAGATGGACATAGGCCAAGCTTGACTGTAAAAAAACCCAGAGAAGGGAAAGTGTACCTGAGATCTTCAGGAGACATTGGCCCTTAAATCCTAGGACATTTTAGGTGATGCAGATATTTTCAATAATCCTGCCAAGGTAATAATTATTATATTACATTTTTATTAATGAATCATATGAGGGCCTGAAATTATAAGCAGTAATATCTGTAAACATGCATATAAATTATATAGTCAAACCTGAACCACTTATTTGAACAATGATTGTGTTGCAGTGAATTGCATACAAACACATTTATCTACCAGGGAATGGCAAACAAAAATGACAGACTATAGACATCCCCATGAATGGCATCACTCTCCCTGGGAAAAGGAAGTGGTTTTAGGGGTTTTGTGGGACAGGGAGAGGGAAAGGATGAGGAACGTGGGATTGACATGTGAAGAAGCATTTTTTCTAATGTAAAAAAATAAATGATTCTTAATGGTGACAGGGTAGTAGTACAAAATTCCCTCGAAAGTTATTAGGGTTAGATCTATATTACTTCTTGGTTCTTTTATTTATATATTTGAAACTGTTTAGAAATAGTTAGACTTTGAATTTCTGTTCTATATTGTAAAGTTGAGATTTGAAAACATTGTTAATATGGAGTTATCTGTCACCTATGAATCTGCATCAAACTTTATTCCTTCTCTCTATGTAGATCAATGGAACTTTAGTTCAGGGCATTCCTAAAGAAATGAGACTCAGAACATAATATCTCAAAGCATCTCAGGCAGTCTAAACTGAGGCTACCTGCACACAATGTGTTATTACCCAGCTAGGGCAAAAAGAACACTTAAAGAACCTGACAGGGATGGAGATTGCCTGTTAGAGAGCTATACTCTTTTCAAAATCAGCTAGAATTTTGCACAGCAGCTGTTCACAATTACACAGTTGTCTATTGCTAAATAGAGGCATTTTAAGTATTGTATTTGACTTCATTCTCTCTTCCAAAGCAATATCCCTGCTACCTTCACACAAACCTCAAGAACTGAGACATAGATGAATCAGCAGCTGTGACACAGATAAGTAAGAACTGTCGTCATCTGTTTCCATCCTTACTTTCAAAATCTCTTTTCTGATTGGGTCCTAATGCATATCTAAGTCAAGCACTCATCCAATAGGAGGCAATCACCCCAAATAAAAATGTCAGTACAGGAGGAATTTTTCCAGTCAGGCTTCGGCCTAAAATCCAGCTGTTAGCTGGACTTAGGCCAAGCTTGACTGAAAACAACCCCAGAGAAGGGAAACTGTTTAATAGACCTGCTGGAGTTATTGGCTCTTAAATCCTAGGATAGGGTAGGTGATAGAGGTATTTTCCATAATACTGCCAAGACTAACTTCTCCTGTTTGCCTGTAAGGAAATATGCCCCTGTTTCTGAAGCAACAGATTCAGCCTTTGTATCTATTAGTTATGACTCAGGCATGGATCCTGCAGTATGTTCACGAAGATTAAATTTAACTCAGTTTTTGAAAGAAACTTGTATCTTATTCCTCAAAAAAGCAATTAGAGGATAGAGCCTAAATTGTTATGATTGGGAGAATTCTTACTTAGCCATCTGAGAATTTGTGAATTTCAAATTCCAAGATTCCACAAATAAGTGCATCTGTGGTATCTTACATGAAATCAACACACATTACAAGCCTGCAGTAAATTGCAGTACATAATCATATTCAGCATTCACAAGGTAGAGACTGAGGAATTCAAATAGATATCCTGGATATTGATAGAAGCAGGTATATATATGCTAACCACTACTTACCTAGGGATGATTTTTTCTTTTGTCTATTGTATTCAGATTTTGCATAAAGTAAATTATTCCCTGTCATCCATTTTCTGTAACGTGGTTTCTGCAGCAGCACATGTTTATTTGCTAAGGAGAAATGAATCAGCAGCTCTGTAGGAGATCTCCAAGCATTCCTCAGCATTTGATTTCATTGGTCGGATTGAGATCACTCTACTTATTGGTTCTGATTCTCCGTACAACATGAATGCACACAGACACTCAGAGAGAGAACAGATAGCTAATATTTTGTCAGAATTGCAGGATATTTCCAGGCATTCTCTGGCTATATTCTGAAATTCAATTGCTCCTGATCAGAGGTTTTTGCTTCTGTCTATATTCCCGGACAATGGCAGTTAATTAACTATTCCTTTTATATGCAGGTTTCAGATGGCCTATGAATTATGAAATTCATGAATTTTTTGATTACCTATAGTACATATTTGATTATCATTATCCTGAAAATTTATAGCAATAGATTTCATCCTATTTGAAATGTTTCATTTCTTTAAAACAGTGAAAATTGTGGAATGTGAAGTTCCAAATTCCCACTTTAGTAATACTGACTTTAGGATTTAGTATGTTGCATACACTAGGAAGTCCTGCTGTTAGCTCTCCCCTGAGACATCCATTGTGGGAATGGCTATTATACTGTATCTTTATTAATGAATTATTTGAATGCCTGAAATTAAAAGCAGGAATACCTGTAAACCAGCATGTGAATTATATATTCATGTCAGAACCCCTTGCATGACCAATGATTTTGTTGCAGTGAACTGCACACAAGGACACATATTTAGCAGGGAATGGTACAAAGAAATCTCCAACATCACTCTTCAATGATGGGAAATAAATAGGATTTTCAAGATTCATGCTGATACTGTATGGAAACATTGGCATAATACCCTACACTGCATTACAGTGTACAAAAGAACATTCTTTGTTCTGACAGTGTCAATTCAAAAGGTATGTTCCTCACAATACATCCATAGGAAAAATACCCAATATAGATTCTTTAGTCTACAGATTTGTAGTATTGAAAACAAACAGTAGGTTATTCAAATTTTCAATTGAATATCTAAGTTTCTCATACCTTTAATGTGCTGCATCATCCAAATACTAAAGGCAATGTAAAACACATATTAATATGTTATATTTATATAATTATGTATATTAAAACCATTATTGCATTTACCTTCATTTCCTAAATTTCATATTATTTATCTGAAAGAAAATATTAGTAATTTTCCAGAAGAGGTACTTGTACCAACAATATGCTAGGTAGAGTTTAATACAGAGCATTTCATAATTAGAATTAGAACAACGCAACTCACAATTGGGAATGTATATTTTTCAAGAGTAAAGGTTTTGGGTAAAAAGCAAACATTTTAAAATCATAGTGAATTTATATGATATCATCTAAAAAAAGGACTTAGACTTCACAATAGCCCAAAGTTTATCTTGTGATGATGTAATGTATTTGACTTTGACATTTGCAGTATTTGCAGGCTTTGAATCAGGAACTTTTTTTTAATCATTATTTTATTTAAATTGGAAACAATCTTGCTTGACTGGTCAATCCCAGCTACCTCATCCTTGCCTCAAACCAAGCGGCCCACATAACCTTGAACCCCAATCCACAGCCCTCTAATCCCCAAATAGTTTGATGCCCCATGGCGAAACTTCAATGTCTCTTATGTAATCCCAAGCTGTTTACAAGCCTCCACATATGTACAGGATTCGAACAAATGCCAACATTTTGTATGGCACCCAAAATCCATTTATACACCAGTGCTAAATATTGACCTAGTATCCAAGACCCTATAGATGACCTCACCTCCTCACAAACACCCATGTTCAGGGTATTTGTATTAGTCAAATCCTGGACTCACAGTCATAATTCTGGGGAACATAAGCTCCCCCATGTTCATGTCAGCTGGCTCTGTGGGTTTCACCAGCCAAGTCTTGATCACTTTCTTCTTCACTACTCCCATCTTGTAACTAGGATTTTGGATTTCATTTCAGTGTTTAGCTCTAGGTGTCTGCCTCTGCATCCATCAGCCACTAGCAGAAGGCAATAAGATGCCATATAATGTAGCTTTCAATCTCATTAGAAGGGAAGGGCATTTGGTGCTGCTTCGCCACTGAGGCTTACTTTGCTATTTGGTGACATAATTGCAGATCTCTGGAAATCTCACTTTGTCTATTTCTCTCCTCAAACTTATGAATCATCCTTTTATGGTATTTTTCATCTTGCCTTCCTCTACTTGTTCCCCTGATTCAAACTTCTTGTTCTAACATTTCCTCCACTTCCTCCTCTTCAACCTCGCTCTTTCTCCCAGCATCTCTCCAATCCTTTAATGCTCCTAATCCCATCAGGAGCTTCTATCCGCTTCTCCTTCTGTGGGGTACCATGAGAATATCAGGTCCTCCCTGATTACCATTTGATTTGAGATTGTTAGCTGACACTCCCTTGTTTCAGGCCTAAGATTGATATGTGAGTGATTACATAGCACTTGCATTATTGTGAAAGTGTTACCTTAATAAGGATGTTTTTTATAGTGCCATCCAGTTGACTACAAATTTCAAGTTTCCATTGCTTTTTTTTTACACTAAATAGTTCTCCTTTCTGTAAATATACAACATTTTCTCTGTCCACTCTTCAGTTGAGGGGCATGTAGTTTGCTTCCAGGTTCAGGCTATTGCAAGTAATTCTGTTATGAATAGTAGACTAGATGTCACTGCTTTATGAATGTGCATTTTGGTATATATGCCTAAGAATGGAATTGCTGATATTTGTGCTGAACGGATTTGCATTTTATTGAGGAATCCCTATATTGATTCCCAAAATTGGTGTACGAATTGGCACTCCCACCATCAGTGGAAGAGTATTCCCCTCTCTCCAATCCTCTCCAGCTTAAACTGTCATTGTTGCTTTGATTGTAGTCATTCTGAGAGGAGTGAGATGGTATCTCTGAATAGCTCAACATTCTCAGCCATCAGGGAAATATAAATTTAAAAAATCTGAGATCAAACACTTTGCAGTTTCAGATTCCAACCACAGTTTTGCTGTGCCCTCATAGAGTAGCAAGAAGAATGTAAAAGTTTTCATAATTTCAGGATCTTACCAACTAGATGTGACAACATTTCATATCTCATTAAATTCTTATACAAAAAAACCATCTGTCCATTACAACAAATGAAGGAAAACTCTTCCTGCCTTATGCAAGTGATAGTACCCTTGGAAAATAGGAAATTCAATGACTGTGTGATTCCATGTGTTATAACTCTGATTTACCTTATCTAGCTCCTGTGCAAGAAGAAGATTCCTGCTACTTGATCTATTTAATCTATTTGATGGTGTGACATTCCTGTCTCAGATTTGATGTGTTTCAGTATCTACAAGAAAAATAATTCTCTTTTCGTTTAAGGAAATTATAGAGACTAGGAGAGCCTTGCTTTCATATCCTCAGGTATATCCATTGTGGGAATGATTAAGACGTTATACTTTTATTCCAGAAACTGGTGCTTGTCTGAAAGTACAAGCAGTTACATTTGTAAAACCTACCCTGTCACCTAATGTTCTCTATTGACAACATAGTACATCACAGGAAACTGTCTTGTCATCATTTGTTCATATTAGGTTCTCACAATTCAACTTTACATTCTGAATTTGTATTGTCACTGCATATTTCAATATAGAAAATATATTGACTGATTTATTCTTACATGTCTCTACATTATTATTTCTAAGATCATTTACATCATGAGCTTTATTGTAAATCAATTGATTATTGAATATGGCAGAAAGATATTAAACACCCAACGTGTTTATTCTTTGTTTAGTGGTTTATCTACACTTTAAATACTTCTGACATTATATGTTCTTTCTACCTCATACTTTTAATTACTATGTTTGACATCAATGTCGTTACTGTAAAAGATTGGGCATCACCAACCATTTCTGAATTTGTTCTCCATGCATGTATCTGGCATACAGTAGGAATCTCATGAAGACATGACACTTCAAAGCATAGTCCACCAAATGCACTCAGGTTTTCTGTGAAGACCTTCTTTCACATTGCTGTGTTATGTCCCCACTCTTGCCTGAAGCACAGATATGTGTGTATGAAATTGTGTCCTTCAGTCTCTTTTTATTTCTGTCTGACTCTGGCATTTTGACACAATTTCCTTTTGTGTAACTGTGACAATTCTAATATCAGTTTCTTCTCTATTGTATGTGATTGTGATTTGCTTCCATTTCTTGGTCTTGAAATTACACCACCTAATTTTTGTTTTTTCTTAGCTATTTTTTTTTCTTTTAATCCAGAAGATTGTGGAATTTTCCTCCGGTTAAATTTTAAGTCACTAACATGCAGAGCACCCCAAATTTTTATATTGCCTGTATTCCATCATACTATAGCTAATAAATAGCTGCACATAGATTTTCTTGATATGATGACATAAGGAACATCAATCATAGGTTTATATCCTCATAATTGATCATGCATGATAAAGGTATTTTTAATAATTCTTGATATTCATACTTGATGTTCATCTTTATATTAGAATATGGCTATATTCCAATTGTGTCCTTACAGGCAAACATTTGGCTATGAACTAAATCAAATAAGGCTTCGCTGGTACCTGCGTGAATAAACTGTGATATCCATTCACAGTATAAGTTGTTCAGTTTATTTATTATCTGTCCTTATGTGCATTATGCATTTCAACTCATTGCAAATAATTGTATCTGTGTATGTAAGTTATATGTTCAGTTGTCTTAGTCATATATATGTATATATGCATGTCCAAGTCCATAAATTGTTGATGTTTCAGAATTTCATGCATGATAAGAGTATTTTTATTAATTCATGTTATTTTTCAATTTAATTCTTCAATACAATAGCTGCTACCATGAGCCTTATAATAAAAATAAATTGTGAATTTGTAAATAAACTCAAAATTAAACCCCTATGTAGATAGATTGAAGTTATTATGTGTAACAAATATAGTTTTGACACATTAGAATGAAAGGACAATAGAAGTTATGATTCAGTAGAAATAGATTCTTTATGTTGGCTGCAAATTAGGCCTTGGTGAATATGTTTTTTACAATCAGTAAAATATGGTATAAATATATTTTATCGAAATTTAACAGAGGGAGGTAACATACCTCTGATAAAGAAGGTATCAGTGTGTCAACTTTAAAGTGCCCATTATTTTCTCTCTACAACTTGTATTTACTCAAATGCAAAATAACAGTTTAGTAACAAAAATTCTATTAAACATTGTCATTTGCTTTGTGTGTGATTTATATGGTAACTTAAAATACACATATATTAACAAAGGAAATTGCTACCCAGCTAGATAGACATAGATTTTATATACATATACAAATGTGTGTGTGTACATACATATTCATATATTTTTTCATAGTTACATATTTTGGTTCCATTATTTTAATACCAATGTCACACTGAGTCAGTTACAGAATATATTTGCATTTAGATGTATTAAATACACTATTTTAAAAATTAGATTTAAATTATACTAACCCAGATGTCCAAAA